CACAGTGATGGAGTCATAGTTAGCAGGTTAAACAGTTAGTTGCGTATCCTTTGCAGGACGTTGCAGAACCAACCCCAGCATTCTTTGGCTGTTGCGGTTTTTCTAAACAAGTTTAGGTCCAGTAGTTTGTCATTGCTTTCTTGAAGGTCGGCCTCTCGATACCACTGTCGAAACCAACGCAAGGCCTGCAGTTGGGATCGAACCCGGCACCCCGGCTTTCAAAGCTCGTTCCCAACGCCTAAGCAACAGACAGTTAGCAGGTATCTTAATCATTCACTGATAATATTAACAAACATTTAAAAAAAAAATTTTTTTTTTGCTAATATCAGAACATGTTGCAACGCTGGCGCTCAACAAAAACTTATGACCCCAAACCCTCTAAAAGTGGTGAAAGACCACAGTATGAAACACTAGAAATGATTCCTGATGTTATAGAAGGTGTTTCACATTTTAGAGAAAAACAATTTCCTAATTTCCATTTCCCCTTCATACTTGTGTGTGCTGTGTCACCAGTTTTATCAACTTACAGTAAATACAATGTTTTTCCCCCCTTAAAATGTTACCCCCCCCCCCCCCCCCCCCCCAAAAAACTCCCCCCCCCATTTCTTTCAATTTTTAAAACATATATTACCGTTTATTATTCAAACAAACAATTTAATGAAAATAAATTGTAAACTTTGAGTTTGTCGGACGCTGGAACGAGGGGTGGGGGGGGGGGGGGGGGGGGTTGGGGGGGGGGGGGGGGGGGGGGGGGGGGGGGAGTTCCTTGGAACTCGAACAATTTGGAATACAATCGCAGTTTCGGCACGGGTTATGTGTATGGAATTTCGATGTGGCGCTTACTTTCTAGGGAGTCGCCGTGGCGGCGCGGCTAGACGAGCGCCGCGTATCGGAAGGTCGTAGGTTCGCTCCCTGGTGGAGACGGACTTTTCTTCAAAAATGACCTTGGCTCCCAGGTCGACCCAGCCTTGAGTGGGTACCGGGTGCAGTCCCGGGAAGTAGAGGCGGCCGGCGTGATGCTGACCACATCACCCATCTTGTGTATAAAAATATAGGTCTAGCCCTATATGCCCTATACGCCTAAAGGCGTGGAAAGGGTCCTTTACTTTTTTTTTTTTACTTACTTGCTTTCTACTTGTGTGTTTCACACAGCTCTATGAACATCAGCAGTAGCAACTCCAGCGAAGAGTTTTCTGAGGAGGAACAAATTCTTATCTTTACCTGGATGTCAGAACTCCTGGGAACGACTGGGGTCGAGAACGTCATCACCAAGAAGCTGAGTGAGCACGGCTTCTCGAAGAAAACAGAGCAGGTGAGAAATATAATTTATATAATCGACGACCTGATCGTAGGTCGGGCAGTATTTAAGTCCTTCTCTTTTAATCGCATGAATGACCTAGTCATCTCCTTGTGAGATGCAATTTTTCGTTATTTTGAAGCCCCACCCTGGCTCTTGCCAGGGACCGCAATTAAGCACCACCATAATTAGGGTCTAATGGCTAAACGCGGTTTCTGGGACCTCTCCATGGGTGATCCTCATCCACATGGTGGCATTTTGTGTCATCGGGTGTTTATCGTTTGTGTGATGTCCTGGTGGTGTAAAAGTACTACTGCTACTACTATTCGCATGAACACTGCAGGAGGAGTCATTTTCAAAGCTTCTTGATGGCATGCAATGTTAAGCCATTTTATCTGGCAAAAACAAAATCACAATTATAACCATAATCTCCCCGCAAAAGCAATGTACGACAGGGCAAATATTTTTTTTAAACAAATTAGTTTTTTTACTTTTTTTTCAATTCGTGGGTTATGACTTCAGATCTGGCATCATGGAACTCGTGACATTCCCACAGACGCCTCGTCCACACCTTTCAGCAACAAGCGCAGAGTTCCAGTTCCAGTGGTACCAGAAACAGTCTGATTGTATGTCCGTCCCGCCCCTCTCCTAAGTGTCGAGCGTTGGCCTGATCCCGAAGACGAGAAGTTGGGAAGTAAAGGCGGCTGGTGCGATGTTGATCAGATCCCTCACCGAGTGCCAATTAGCCTATACAATCTAGATCTAGCCCTATATGCCCAATACGCATGAAGGCGAGGAAAAGGGTCTTTTACTTTACTTATAGTTCTTCTTCTTCTTCTTCTTCTTCTTCTTCTTCTTCTTCTTCTCCATTCTTCTTCTTCTTCTTCTTCTTGCTTTTTCTTCTTCTTGCTTCTTCTTCTTCTTACCCTTCTTCTTCTTCTTCTTCTTCTTCAATCTTCTTCTTCTTCTTCAACTTCTTCTTCTTCTTCTTCTTCTTCTTCTTCTTCTTCTTCTTCTTCTTCTTCTTCTTCTTCTTCTTCTTCTTCTCTTCCACCTTGTACCTCATCGAAGTGTCGGAGGGAGATGTTCGTTGATGAGCTCTGTCAAGAGCTCTATTAAGACTGATGTTCATTTCTGAAAGGTTGTTCTTAATGCAATCACTCCATGTTTTTCGATGTCTTCCACTCGCTCTATACCCGTTGTAACACTTCAGTGTGGCTTGCTGTGGCAGATAGTACCAGGGTGTCCAAGCCACTTCATTTATTGTTCTTTGATGACCTGACCTATAAAACTGGCTTTATTCCTAGCATTCGTCTGATTTCATGATTTCGTATTCTGTCTTTCCTTGAAACTCCTGAATTTCTTCTCTGTTGTCACAATTTTACGTTCATTGGAGGATGTAAGTGTCCACGGTTAGCATAGTGTTGGCCAAAAAAAAAATAGTTCTGATAAAATTTACTTTAGTACTCCGAGGTATCTGCTTGTGTGTCAACAGGGAAGATAGTTGTCCCATTACTTGTTACTTATAGTTAGCAATGAATATACAGAAGCCAGCCTCCTCTGTGGAGGTAGCAACCATTTGTATGTTAGGAAAGGGAATTGGGCTACATCAGTACGTTGTATAACTATGACATGCATTGGTAAGGTATTAGAGGTCAGGGTTTGTCAGTTTTTATATCTTCTTAAGCATGCATTTTGTAAGAGGCAAATAAGAAGAACTTAGTGTCAGCTGACTGTGGCACTGCTTTGTGCTTCGAACGAACGAACAAACTTTATTTTCAAAGGGTTACAAATTGGGCACGCACTCCCGTCTGACATTCGGCCCTTCTAAGCACTCATTTTTCAGAGTACCAATGCCTATTATCAATAATGCATGTTATGAATATAATAAAGAAATATGCATTATAGAATAATGCATACACACATCATGTGTACACAGTCTTACCCACTCACACACACGTATATATACTCACATACTTACATTCTCATACATGCACATTCATATACAGGCATACTAATACATACATTCACATCGAGAAGAATGGCAGGGGAAAAATAAATAGGGTCTTTTAAAGACAATATAAAAGGGAATAACAAATTGATTTTGCTTAAACGAAGTGATTTAGTGGCGTCGGAGATAATAACAATTTAACAGTTTATTGAAACTGTCATGAAAGGGACAAAAGATTCCTAAGATCAAAACATAATATTTGTTTTATTTCAGACTTACTACATCTCGAAAACTGATCTCCCAAAGATCATTTCTAGCCTTTTAATTTAAAAATGTGCGGCGTTACTGTTGTTTTGTTACGGAGTTCTGCAACTAGCACAGAACAGGATTTAGAGCGGCCCAACCCAGGGCTTCAACACATAACATGGATACGCCTAGAATCTGAGACACATGTGCTGATTTCCACAGATGGGTCCCTTGTACGAGGACACCAGAATATATGGGAATTCACAGCTCGCTCTGCAGGCAAAATAGTCCCGGAAGTCATTAATGCCTTCTGTATGACTACCAGCAGCATGACAATGGAGGTGATGGCGGTAACAGAAGCTTTTACATGGCTAGAATTACAGGACTATTCCAACGTATGTGTGTTGAACGATTCTATAAGCATGATCCGGCGGCTCAAGACAGGCTCCTCACACAGGCTGTGGACTGAGTCATTGTGAAACTCCCCTGTGTGTGCATTTGCCTTTATCTGTGTCCCAGTTTTTTTCAGGTGATTTTTGGCAATGAAAGAACTGACTGACAGACCGGTTCCACCTAAGTTGCAGATTGCCTGCGTATGGATGGCTTTTAGAGAGACACGACGATCCGAGGGTTTTGGGAGCAGCGTGTCAACATACAGATCGGTGCAGCCAAGCATGAAAGGCACACCTGACGTAAAGGAAGTCTTGTTAACCAGCATAAGACTGGCACTATGAATCGCTGATGTATATGTTGAGAGGGGGTGGATTTAAACACATATAGGCGTGTGTCCTGAGTGCTGTGAAGATAACTCATAACGCCTAGTATAGTAATATCAACATGATAAGGTAGACGTGGTTAGTGCCTTGTGGGAGAGCGTGTATAGTTCGGAGGAGCAGATGGATCACCACAGTCAAGTGAGATTGATGCAGCAGGGAGTGACGAGAGCAAATCAAATCAAATCAGTAATATAATATCAGATGCTCGAGGCTCAGAGGAAAGGCAAGACGGACGTTTAATCAGAATGCTACTGGCACCATTAGTATCGAAACTCCTCGCTAGCTTCTGAAGATGGGGAGGGCGCGCTAATGGAAATACCCCGAGTGCTGTGATGTCGGTTCTCTGGAATCAAATCAAATCAAATCAGTAATATAATATCAACGGTACAGCGGCGAAGGCCAAGCAGAAGAAGTGACCACAAAATGTCAACTTCTTCTTCGCGTTCACCAGCTGTAAACTCCGACGGAAAGTTCAAAGTATTGCTTCACCTCCGGACTTTAGTCTTGTTCCAGAACCTGAGTGTTGCCTGCACATCCCTTTTGCAGATCTGCCTCATTTGCATGCAGACTGTTGGTTCCTTGCCTCTCAGGCAGATGCACTCCGACTTCGAAGGAAGCTTCCAGCTTGTCGACTCTCACAAACTGCCAACGAATCCTGGGATTTACTGGTAATGTCCTGTAAACAATCTGTAACTAACGTTTATTTCTCTGTGTGTGTGTGTGTGTGTGCGCGCGCGCACGTGCGTGAGTCGTGCTTGCGTGCGTCGTGTGTGTGTGTGTGTGTGTTAAATTTTGTTTTTTCTAGTAAATATGCTAATATGTCAAAATAAACTGTATTTTTCTTTCTAATCACATCCAATAGGTTTCCAGGTATCTGGTAGAGATGGGATTTCTTGGAAAATCTGTCTTCATCCTGTAATCCATCTCACTTGTCGGATCCTCTTAGCAAAAAGGTATGTGGATTCTGTACGTGGATTCTATATGTGAATTCTGTATGTGGATTCTGTTATAGTTGCACTTTTTTTCATGCCAGTCTGTATAGAAATAAATTAACGAAACAGAAACTGTAACGAGGAAATTGGACCGTGTGAATGGGATAAAAAAACGAGTACAAACGAGTGTCTTCATGAAGTAATTCAACAACAGAAATCCAAAACCACAACAAAAAAAACTAAAAAGTCACACAAGGAAAGAAATTAAAAAATAAAATTGTTTTAAGTTTAGACAGGACACAAGGGTGGTTAACCCATAAGCGCCCTGTTCTAATTTAAGCCTGAGTCCAAAGAATCTCAGCGTAATGCACGAACTCCGTAGCCCCGGCAAGGATTCTGAAATACTTTGGGTAGATTTTTAACTCCAAATTTGTTGGATTTTCAACTGCCAGGGGAATTTTTTACGTTCGCAACAATACACACGGGCGTCCGTTCTTACTACCCAGAGACCAGGGAAAATTACTAAAAGTCCACATGAAAAAATCCCAGCCCTGACCGGGGCTTAAACCCGGAACCTCCAGCAAAAAAAAAAAAAAAATCAACACACACACATGGATGCATATATATATATATATGAGTTGAGTTTTTTGAAAACCGACATAAGAATACCCACGAAATCTTTATTTGCGTTCTGCTCTGAAGGTCTTGAGTATCTCGCACAGATGATCAGTGCATCGGCCAGCGGACAGCAAAGCCAGGAACCAGGACCCTTAAAATCGACATCAAACAACAAAGGGATAATCTCAGGTGTAATTGCACACCACAAAGGAACAGAACTAAATAAGATAACACAGGAACCATCCTTGATAAAGCGGGCCATCAGACGGCTAAAAAAGGACTAAGCTTGGAATTTTTGTTTGAATTTTACGATACGATACGAGGTCTTGAGTGTAAATCCACACTTGGTACTAGGTAATGTCCAAGGAAGTAACGACAAGCAGCGTTACCTATTCAATGCTGATTGGTCTATAACATGTTTTTCTAGCATCATGTACCTCAGAAAAACTGACGTGAAAAGGATCCTTTATTTTGCTTTTCTTTAATAAACTGTTATTAAGCTCGTATTTGTTTTTTTGTTTATTTGTCGTGGACAAACTTGCGTTCGATTGTTACCGTATTTCCGGATGAGCTAGCAAACTTGAATTTTTTTTGCACAAGCTCTTTGGATGACAAAGCAAAATAATGCAAAAATATTTAAAAAAAAAAAAAAAAAAAGAATGGTTTTATTTATCACAAGCCCTATGCACTGTTGATGCTTATTAATCTGAAAGCGAGGCTGGCATTAGGTCAACTTGGCATTTAGTCAACTCTATTTACAATCACACATAGAACTTGAAATGTCACTGAACAGATTAGGAAGAATTTGGAAGCAACAGAGATGTGGTTTCTGAGACGAATGTTACGAATACCTTGCACGGCTAAAGTAACTAACAACGACTGCTTGAAAGAGGCTAATGAAAGTAGAGCTCTATATACATATACAAAAATCAGAAAGAGACAAACACTGTTCTTATGCCACATAATGAGAAGAGAGACATTGGAGTACATCGTGACAACTAGAAAGATCAATGGAAAAAGGGGTAGAGGCAGACCAAGAGAGATAGTGCTGGATGGGCTGAAACAATAGAATGGAGGGATGTCATCAAGAGAGCTGTTTCAGGCAACCAGGGATCGTGATCTGTGGAGAAGCATGAGCGCCTATGTCAGTTGACAGGGCACATGATGACGATAATGATTTACAATCAACATTTTGATAAGGTATTTAATTTCGTTTACAGGGTGGGTTGAATATTTTCGAAAACAGCAACATCCTGCATGAACTGTCATCTGTGTCTGAAGATGGATTCGTCCCCTTCTTGTTGGACAAATTGAAGGCATTGGGATTTGAAGCACATCTAGTTTGGCTGCAGAAACAGCTGTTGGAGGCTGCATATGTCAAGCTCGGTGAGTATTTGTGTTTCATAAAAGAGACCTCTTCATAAAATATTATCATATTATCAATTGATATTTTGCCAATCATATCATGCTCTTTGTCTACACCCGACAGTCAAATGGCGAATTCTATTCTTATTATTAACAACAATGGTGTTTATATTGTTCATATTATAGTGTGTTAATTTAGAAATTCTCCTCCCCCCCCCCCCCCCCTCTCCTGTTGTACCCCACCAGGACATCACACAAGCGATAAACACCCGATGACACAAAGTGCCACCATGTGGATGAGTATCACCCGTGGAGAGGTCCCAGGAATCCCTTTCAGCCATTATGGCTATATTTATGGCCCAACTATGTTCAGGGCCCCGGCACAAGCCGAAGTGGGGCTTCATAATAAAAAAATTAAAAAATGGCATCCCACAAGGGGGCGCATTACATTGCAGTTAATAAATTATAGAACAAACCAGGTGTTTTTCTATGTCGTTGAATAAATTATAGAAGAAACCAGGTGTTTTTCTACGTCGTTTAATAAATTATAGAAGAAACCAGGTGTTTTTCTACGTCGTGGAGTAAATTAGAGAAGAAACCAGGTGTTTGTCTACGTCGTTGAGCATTGCCAGGGTTATCTTTTGAGATAATTGTTACTTAATTACTAATTTTTAAACAGTAATATTTAAAAAAAGAGTATGTATGTATGTGTCGGCGTCTGTGGCTAAGGCGTTGCGCACGCGCTTCGTAATGCCGGGGTGCCTTGAGCTGGTTTCGACAGTGGTATTGAGAAGCCGACCGTCCATAAAGCAATGGCAAACTGCTGGACGTATATATATATATATATATATATATATATATATATATATATATATATATATACACACACACACACACACATATACATGGCAAGGGCATTAATCCTAAAACACTCAAAGCGTAGAACTGAAAGCATTAGTTTACTTCATTATAAAGTTATTTTTCTTGTTTTTTCCCCAGCTATCAAAGATCCTACATACCGAATCCATGTTGAAGAGCCAGTGGCAAAGTTCTATGCTCGTGAGTTTATGGACTTCGTACCGTCAATTAATACATTTATTTGATGTTTTCTCTTCTAATATTAACAATAATCATGTCTCGCATTGTACATGTTTCAAATTGTATGGTAGAACTTCTTCTTCTTCTTCTTCTTCTTCTTCTTCTTCTTCTTCTTCTTCTTCTTCTTCTTCTTCTTCTTCTTCTTCTTCCTTCTCCTTCTTCTTTCTTCTTCTTCTTCTTTCTTCTTCTTCTTCTTCTCATTCTTCTTCTTCTTCTTCTTCTTCTTCTTCTTCTTCTTCTTCTTCTTCTTCTTCAAAGTTATATATATATATATATATATTTGTGTAGCTAATATTGTAGCTCATTTAAAAACAAACGTATTTTTCATAATTGGTAAATGCGGCCAACCTAACTGTTGGAGACAAAGTTATAAATTATATTACCAGACAGACTGTAGGAACAAAATCATGCAGCAGATTTATTGAGAAACGATAGATCAAATGGTTTGGTCTTCTGGTCAGAATGCAGCCAGAACAGCTACCAAAGCAGACGCTACACATGAACAGATCTGAAGTGGAAGCATGAGGCCGACTTAAGGAAAATATGGACTGATGACATTAAAGAGCTTCTACATCAACACGGAAATGCATTGCTGCCTATCACCGATGTACTGAAAACTGTTCGCTCCCATGTTGCTTGATGGCAGAAGTGGAAATTGATGATGGTGATTATGATAATGATGATGTTGATGATGAAGATGAAGATGAGTAAATATCGTTGAAAGCTATCGTTACTACCCGAATATACCACTTTTTAAGGCGGCGTAAGAGAATGAGGGTAAAGGGAGAGTGGTGACTAGGTCTGGAGGATTTAGGGCTATATGGCTCGTTTAGCCGCCACAAACTGTGCAGGTTAAAGCAAGGTAAAGGTCCCTTTTCCACGCTTTCAGACCTTTAGGGCTAGACCTATATTGTGTAGACCAATGGGCACTAGCTGGCTGATGTGGTCAGCATCATGTCGGTCGCCTTTACTTCTCATGACTTTTCCTGGTACCCATTTAAGGCTGAGTCGACCTGGGAGCCAAGGTTATTTTGTGTGTGTGTGTGTGGGGGGGGGGGGGGGGAATGTCCTGCTCCGTCATAATCTGAACCCATGATCTTCAGATCCGCAGCGGAACGTCTGGCCGCTACACCACGGCAGCTCCTGTGCAGGTTAGGAATTTTAACTTTGCCCGAGACAGAAAAACAAGCTCTGTCAGCTTACCGAGGATTTGAACCCTGGTCTCTGGCAGGATAGTCCAGCGTTACAACCGTTCTGGCAGCCTCTACTCAAAACAAGTAGCAGTTCACCTTAATGGCTTTCATTTCTGTTTTCTTTTTTTAAAAGTATTTCCTGCTAGCTAGATACTGATCAAATTAATCAAATATTAACTTTTATCTTTAGGTATTATATATTGCACATCGCCGTGAGTCCTGGACAATCGGTAGGTAGGCCAAACAATTTCTTGAGGCCTCAGAGATGTGGTTTTACAGAACAGTGCTAAAATACCTCTGAAAGCCAAAAAGAGCAACCAAGAGGTTTTGAAAGAGGCGGGAGCCCAAAGACAACTTATCACAGACATCAGAAGGAGACAGTCATAATTTTTCGGCCATGTCATGAGAAGAGGGAAAATGGGACATGTTGTGACCATTGGAAAGATCTGTGGAAGGAGGGATAGAGGAAGACAACGAGAGAAGATTCCTTACAGTCTTGTTGCTTGGCATGGAGGTGTGTCAGCACACGAGCTGATACATGCTGCAGGAGATCGCGGATTGTGGAGAGGCATGATCGTCCGCGCCAGTCGGAAAGACACCTGATGATGATTATTATCTACCAATTTAATCATCATCATAATCATAAACAAAATTCTGTTTGGCGCTTAATTAAGGTAAACACTGAACTGAAAACAATGTTCTGTTTGGCGCTCAATTTAGGTGAACACTGAAATTAAAACTGGGCTATATTTGGTGCTTCATTTACGTAAATGCTGAAATGAAAACAATGTTCTGTTTGGTGCTTCTGTTACATTAAATAACACAGGCTTACTGGCAGCCATTGCTCCGGACCATTCAGTTTTGCTGGAAAAACTGACTTCTGTGTTTACTGTCCCGATTTCTTTTCCTGTAGTTCAAAGCAAGCCAATTCCTATGATTCCTTGGAATGAGGAACTGGAAGAAGCATTATCAAATCCATACTTCCATCTGCTGCAGCAGAGCCTAGGTCTGTATACAAATGATGATCCAGCATCATCTACCCGAGAATTCCACAGTATTTCACGCCCATGCTACTTGTTAACAAAGCTCGACAAATTGGTACCATCGAATCAGGTAGGTCATGTGGTTTGTTGAAAATGTGTACTTGAAAAAACGAAACTGACTTATAACGTTTTAGGTCAGTTAAGTAAGGGTATTGTTCGAGAATCACAAGTGATGAAGGGCACTTAGCATCCTTAATAGAGCCTTTGGGTTTGTTATTAAAAAAAACAACAACACTGGATCTCAATTCGAACCAAAGGCATTCAGGTCTGCATGCCAGAGTCTAGTCCATCTGCTATCGCCAGTAAATAATCACATGTGACATGTGATCCTCATATGCTGGTAAGTGTAAACTGTTTGTTTTGTCCTCTCTTGATAACCATATATTGATCAGGTCTGTGTTCTTTTTATTTGTAGAAGCTAAAGTAAAAGGTAATATCAAACATGAGGAAACTCCGGCTAATGCTGGTCTATTCATAACTGATAGAATATGACTGTAGAAATGAGGTAATTGCAGGGTCAGGTATAGACGGTGAGGATCTGAGCTATACAAAGCTATGGACCCCTGCTGTTTTAGACTGTACAAGTTAATCTCCTTAAAACTTTAAAATATCTTCTTCTTCTTCTTCTCCGCCATTTACCTCAGCGAGGTGTTGGGGTTGGGGGGGGGGGGGGGGGGGATGTAAGGATCGCTTGTGCACTTTTCCCAATGCATTTTATAACTTGGTGTTCATTTCTGTTAGGTTACTCCTTATGGTGTCGCTCCATCTCTTGCGTGGTCTTCCCCTTGCTCTGTTTTCATTATATTTCTTCAGCGTGGCTCTCTGTGGCAGCTGGTACGAGAGATTTTCATGTAATGAACCACCGGAGCTCAGATACATGTATAGTACCATGGAACTTCAATAAACACATGCTAAAACGTCTAGTACCGCAAGAGTTGAGCTTACTTGTTGTAATCTGTCGCCTTGGCTTTTTTCTTGACCAAGAGCGACCATACTTTTCTTCTCTTGCAACTGGTTAAGTTAGCAGCAACCACACTAGACGACAACACTTAATTTACGATCAAATGTTTACTGTTGTTCCAACAGTTGCGTGGGTTCGTCACTGTCCTTAGCCATCACTCGTTCTTTAGGTCAAGAGGACAAATTACATTTGTTTTGTTCACTAAAATGCTTTTTTCGGTGAACCAGTTCGGGGGGTCTGTAATTGTTACTTCTGTTTTCAGTTTCCGTGAAGTTTGATGTAGACACTCTTAAGGAAAGCTCAAATCTTGGATCAGCTCAGGTCAAACCCGATCAAGTCAATGTGTCGAAATATGGAGATCTATAAGTAAGTTGGCTGTATGTGGCATTGTTTTTATACATATATATATGTTTTTTAAATTTCCATTACTACTGGAAGCCGCCGCGTTGCTAGACGCTCCCATGCGGATTAGATGGTTGCGGGTTTAAATCCACAGGGAGCTAATATTTTTGAAAACATAATCATGGCTCCCAGGTCGACCCAGCCTTGAATGGGAAACATGTAAAATCCTGTGATGTAAAGGCGGCCACATCACCCACCGAGTGTCAAATGATCTGTACAATTTAGGTCCAGCCCTATATACCCAGTGTGACAGAAAACGTAGAAAAGAGGCCTTTACTGTTGTGTGCAGTTCCTCTGTTACGTTTATTTTTTCTACAGCAGTCAGATCGTAGAGATTGTTAACCAAAATCACATGTATCTTGATTTAGAAAGTGTTAAAATAACAACTATCCGGCATTAAAAGAATTAAATCCATTATAAATTCACGAAGTCACAAAAAGAGATTAAATTGGTCATAAGACAAAAATGTCAGCACGAACTAATTCTAAATTACATGCAAAGGCAGCAAACAAGTCAAACTGTTTGCCAGCTTAGAGAAAATTCATTGTGACGCAACTCCATACAAGGCATACGCCAAAAGAGGAGAAGATCATAGGACCCAAGCTAGACTCAGAAAAAAATGAAAAAAAAAAAAAAAACATCAGACAAATCCCACAACAGAACGATGTGGCTGTGGTCGAGGCGACCAAAAAAGTTCCAGTTCCACTTTGTGAAAAACAAAAATTTTAAAGTTCGGCTACGTTTAAGTAGTTTTTATCTGAGCGGCGGTTATTTGGTGAGCCGGGTTTCTTTGTAGATGAAATCTTGATTGTTTAATCTTTGGGATATGATTTCACATCTGATTATTTTCGACTCTGCTTTCCTTATTTGTTGTGTTTCGGGCTTTTGATTGGCGTGACTCTGCCGCTTTTGTTACAACATGCAGGCGTGGTCTGGCTTGGCGGGTTTTGGGTGGCTGGTTTTCTGGAGTTTAGAAGTGGATTTGTTCAGTCCAGAAAAGGACTGACAATTTTGCCTGGGGACCAGAAGAGCAAGATTTAGAACCTAATATATCCGTCGAATCGGTAACAGAGGAAATGAAGAAGTAGAAGATACATTTACGAGACAGATAGGACTGTCATCCATGGAGCACTAGACTACAAACTATTCCACAAAGACCGCTTGTGGGGGAAAGTGGAATATGATATATGATGTTTCATTTTGAATTGTATCCTAAAAACAAAATGTATTCATCTAAAATGTATCCTCATCATTCCGTGCGTGGGTTCACAGCAAAGGCGAATGGACGTCTCTTAGTGCAACAAAGTCTGGTATATGACACGACGCCGTCTTGTTTGAGACTGAAGGTGGGAGCAGTCCCTGATGCCTTAAGAACCAGCTGAAAACGCATGTCTAACTGTAATTGACTCACAGAGCATGCGGAGAAAGGTGGAGACAGGCATGCTCCGTGCAGAGGGGCAGACATCGTTTCAAGGGTCACAGCTTATTAGGGTCTTTTGGATATTTTCTCCAGGTCATGTCGGTTTTGCTGGAAAACGAACAGGCAGACAGACTGGCTGGTTCTTCACTACTTGGTGGTAAACTGATGTATGACAAGCTAGGTGTTGTAAGGACCTTTCGGAGAGAGTGCACATTGCAGAGGCACAAATAGATCATTATAGTCTGAAGATAATGAGATCTGGCGGACGCTCAAAACTCAGGGGGAAGGCGAAACAGATATACGTTAGACAGTTACTAATGCCATCTGAATCGGAACTCTTCTTTTGCCGCTGGAGATAGGAGCGGAGCCCTTATGAGTGTGTCTCGAGTGCTATGATATCGATTCCTAATTCAGTATTCTATTCCCATCTAACCTGTTCAACCGTTTCAAAATCCTGGATGGAATCCAATCCAGCAGCTTTGTTCCTGTTCTCTCGGCAACGCTTGTCTTATGACTCTCTTGCGTGTCCATTTGCTTTCCTTTCCGTCTCCGGTTGTATGTTTTCTACCCAGTCGATTTCAGTGATTCTTAGGCAACGTTTTAATTGCCTTATCCTGTTAAGAGTTTAGCCGAAAAACAAGAGTGATATAGGGGGCCGCGTTAGCGCAGTCGATAGGAGACTCGGTTTCAAATCCAGCTGCGACTCCGCAGAGATTCCTGGGGTTCACCCAGCCTCTAGGTAATGGGTACCAGAGTTAACACTAAGGGGTAAATGGAAGAACGTAGCTGTAGCTATCGCCCGTGTGTCACCGGGGCCCTCACGGGAAGCAAAGAATAGTGACACTGCACCCTACCAGGCATGTCGTAAGAGGCGACTAAGGGTAGGGTTGGGCTTGAGGTTGGCTACCTCATCCTGTAAAAACCATAGCCACAAAAACCAACCAACCATGGATAAGTCAAAAAGAGAAGCAAATAAAATCCAGCCAACCAAGATGAGGGGAGGCTCTTTAAATAGAAGAAGTATGACACGGTGTGGAGAAAGCCGTAAGGAGTCCGGATCGTTGACTTACCTCCTCTCAGCTAGGAAAACCTCCAGAATTGGCACCTGGAATGTTAGAACTCTCTATGATATAGGGAGAACAAAGGAAAGTAGCAAAGGAAATGAAACATTATAGGAGAAAACAGGAGAACAGCATAACTAGAATGTCTTTGCATTGGAACCCACAGGGGCATAGGAATAAAGGAAGGCCAAATAACACATGGAGAAGAGAGCTGGAGATGAGGTTAGAAAGATTGGGAGGACGTGGGGAGAGCTCCATGTAATGGCGAAGGATAGAACGACTTGGCGTGAGTTGGTTGAGGGCCTATGCTCCATTGGGGGATAGAAAGGCGGAAGAAGAAGCTGTAGCTATGGAGCTGCGTGCGGATGGCGACACAAGCGGACAGTTTCTTATCAGCTGTCCGGTGGCAGAGCACTTATGGTTTATAACCGTGTGCAATGACTTGGTTTACATCTCCCGACTTCACCTTTGTTTACACGAGAGATAACTTATTGACCTGTTATATGCCAGTTCCGATTAAATCTACAATTTATGTCTGCTTTATTTTTTATTTTTCAGGCCGCTGAAAACCTTCGAGCACACATGGTTGAACGTAATACAGAAGATGAACGGAGATTTCACAGTTGGCAGTTTTTAAAAATTGAGCACAAGTGTTGCCTAAATATTTAAATGTCTAGTTGTCATTACTGATTCTAGCTGCAAAAATGATGCCTAGAAATACACATATTTAAAAACCGTGCCTAAAAGTTCAGCTTAACAGAAGAAACAATATTATACACACATTAGGCTGGTAGAAATTCAAAACGCTGATGCTAAATCTGTTACGTAACTTGGGAATAAAACCTAGTGAAGCCCGTCTATGTCGTTTCTAGATCAAGATATGAGATATTGTAGCCAAGTTCATAGGGGAATGGTCATCGGAGTAGCTTAGGTTGACTTCTGCAGGGCCGAACACACATTGGAAATGATGTTATATAAGCAGAAGGGGTTGGAGAAAAAAAAAGAGAGAGAGAGAGAGCGCGAACATGGGGGGGGGGGGGGAGGGGGGAGGTTGAAGGGAATACCAACCCCCTTTTACATTTTATAGGGGCGGAAGGGGGAGAGGGGTTGTTTCAAGACTTTAACCCCCATTGACCAGCGCCCTTGATGTGCAGAGAAGTACTGAAGGGAAATTAAAAAGTAAAGGACCATTTTCCCCCGTCTTCAGTCATACTAAGCATATGATAGGCCCATATTTTATATATCAATCGGCACTTGGTACGTGATGTCTAAGAAGAATACTTGGCATTAAGTGGCAGGACAAAATCACAAATACTGAGGTACTGGGTACAAGGTATAGTTCTGGGATGTATAGGCAGCCGGCGTGATACTGACCACATCACCCACTGAGGACTTGTTTGTCTATCAAATATAGGTCTAGCCCTATATGCCCAAAGGCGTGGAAAGATCTTTCGTTTACTTTACTAACGTGATGACGAAAGAAGAAACTTGTTTCTTATTACAAATATCTATCCGTCGACTATGATCTTCACTGGGGGTCTCAGTAGCAAAGCCTTTCAGTTCACGAGTGCAATTTTTAGGTGGATCCCTGGGAATCATCGCCAGAGCTACTGAGTTTGCGTTCTGTGTGGCGCTCTTGGCAGGTGGTTAGCCGTTCTGCGAAGAGAGACGGAGCTATTTGGGATAAAACCTGGTGCAATGAAGTCGATTCTCTACACTTTAATCTGGGTGTTCCAATACAATGATGTTCAGTTTCTCTGAATCCAGAAAATGGCTAGAACTTTCAAATGCAGTATTTCCCGAATGATGGTCTGCGGATCAAGCAAATGTAAAACGGTCCTTAAAACAACTGATAAAAAAAATTTGGAAAAAAAAAAAAAACCACCTTTAGAATGCACCCCTCTTTGCGATTCTAACAACTGATTAAAAAAATTTGAAAAAAAAAAAAACCTTTAGAATGCACCCCTCTTTTTTTACGTGGCCAACAATGCACAAGGGTGTCCGATCTTACTACCCAGAGACATGAGGTAATTACTAGTTCACGTGAAAAAATTCCAGCCCTTACCGGGAATTGAACCCCGAATCTCTAGCACTGGAGGCGGACACCATGCCTCGAGACCACGCAGCCCCTACTACTTCACTATGTGACATTAAATTTTCCTCAAGACTCTTTAAAAACTTTTTTTAATCTGTTAACATGCTGGGAAAAACTCATCAATTTTGTAAATGCGAGCAGTATTATCACATAATTTGTACACATGAACCCTTTGCCAGAAATTGTTACAGTGATGTATTTGATTCAGTTTCAAATACATTATTACTAGTGTTAATTTAAAAAAAAAATTGGTTTGCCTTTTTGAAATAATTAAATATTTACACAAAATTTATCATTGAATAAATAAGTCATTCTTGTTTCTTTGATCGTTTGACTAATTTCCACATTGATTCCAGTCCATTTTTATTCCTATTTACATTGTGCATTTGTGAAAAGCTACAACAGTGTTACTTTTTAACAATATGATAACTATTGTGTGCAGTCTTTCTTCTTCAATTGAGACGAGAAAGAGAATTCTCAAGAGCTATGTGTGTGTCTGCGTGCGTTTCCAAAATCATTAGAAAGCAGCGGGGATGTGGTTTTATAGACAAATGATAAGAATACTATAGACAGACAACAAGTAAAGATCTCTTTTCACGCCTTCAGGCGTATCGGGTATATAGGAAGAGCACCCATATTTTTTTTAAGACCATCGGCACTAGGTGGGTAATGTGGTCAGCATTAGGCCGACCGTTTTTACTTTCCCAGGACATCCATCCTGGTACCCATTTAAGGCTGGGTCAACCTGCGACGCCCATGAAAAATATCCACGCAGCCAGCAGTGGGTTTCGATCGCGGTACGTTGGAATTACGGACAAAAAGAGTAACGAAAATGCCTTGAAAGAAACTGACTCACAAGAACTGATTGCCCACATCAGGTGGAGATAATCTACATTATTTGGTCATTTGTTGAGAATGAGAAAACTGGAGTACATAGTGATGATGGAAGAGTTGGAGGGGAAAAGTGGTATAGAAGGCCACGAGAGAAGGTGCTGAACAGTTTGACATCACATGAAAGATCATCTGTGTCCGAATTTATTAAAAGTACATGGGACAGAAGGTTGTGGATACACATGACTACCAACGCCACACGACAAAGTCTATAAGAATACGACAGTGCTACCTACATTAAACATCATAATGGTTTGGACAGGACAGTAAAAAGAAGTATGATTTCGGGGAGGGAATGAAACACAGGCTGAAATGCACTATGATGGATATAACCAGAAGAAGACCACCCTGGGCCTGAAAGTTCACGATGTTGAATTTTGAGCCAAGAATTAAAATCACAGCACTTGGAACACTCTTAAAAGCGCTCTGTTCCCATCTTCAGCAGCAAGCTAAGGTTCCAACACCAATAGCACCAGTCTTCTTCTTCTTCTTCGATCCTTCTGTCAGAAAACTTATATCAGGAGGCCGGTAGCCTTTATAAAAGCTATCGTGCAATCCATATCCTCTCGTGTACCATACAGCTTTGTCTTTATTGTGGTTGGAACAGGCCAGATTGCGTCTCTGTTGTCAGCATACAGTTGACAGTGTTGGAGCACATGCTCAGCATTTTCGGGTGCCACGCTGCAGGGACACGTCTCCGTATTTCCTACACCGAAAAATTTGAACATATGTTGACGAAATCTGTTGTGCCCTGTCCTTAGTCTGAATATAATAGACTGTCCGTCTCTAGAGAGGCGATGAAGTGAGTCTTGGGGAGAAAATCTGGTGTGGGTATCCAGCCACCTTTCTTGGATACTAGATTGTATTAGTGTTTTCATCTCTTGGTGGGTTAAGTCGCTATTTGGTTGTACCACCGTCTGATTATATATCCAGCTCGCCTTTCCCTTACGAGTTGAGCATCAGCAAGATCTCCTGGTAACTCCTCGTAGCGTCAAATGCTAAATACAACACAAAATATGACTACAAAGCTCAGCAGAAAGAATGGAAAAGGCACTCACAAATACAACCAAATATTTCAACCAGTCTTTTATCTTTGTTGGCACTATTCTATCTTTCTAGAGGATCATGTTAAACTGTGCTATAATGAGCCATAGACCTCACAGCTCGTGACGATGACGAGCGTGACCAGCAAGACCCTCTCGCGTTAAGAATAATCTTCCACAATTAGAGCATGGGATGTCAAGACCGTTGATGCCAACACATGTATTCTGTGTCCTTCTCCAATGCTCAGCTCTCTTCCTTTCCCATTTCCTTCCTAATCTGCCCCCTCCACACAATATAGCCCATGGCATCTTGTTTCCATGAATCCATCTCAATACAAGTATCCTTCATTCCCTGCTTGCACAATCTTTATATCATAGTAGAGGCTGGCCTCAACATCTTCTACCAATATGTAATTTCCCACAGAGGATGTCACTAGGGACTCCACCATCCTCCATATGTGACCCAGCCACCTGAGCCTTCAAAGACTGAGCATTGAGAAAACTGTTGTAATACCTGTTCTGTACTTTAGAAAGTTTGTCATCAATGGAGTACTAAATACATCAACAACTGTGACTGGAAAACTCAATGGACAAGGTAATAGAGCTTCTGAACAACCAAGGCTTGGCTTGGCTTGGCTTTTTATACCCCACCAGGACATCACACAAGCGATAAACACCCGATGACACAAAGTGCCACCATGCGGATGAGGATCACCGTGGAGAGGTCCCAGAAACCGCGTTCAGACATTTGGCCATAATGATGACCTGCCTATATTGCGGCCCCTGGCAAAAGCCAGAGTGGGGCTTCAAATAACAAAAAATAACGTCCTAAGAAGGACGTACGACAATAAAAACCAAGGTCAACATGAAACTAAGAAGTGTTAAACATGTATATAGCACTTCTTGTTACCAGCTTGACTGTAATCATCCCTCACTTACATTACAAAAAGTGTCCATGAAATAGAGCCTTTAGGTCTAGCCACTCCAGCAACAGAGCCCGCAACTGTCTTGAGAATAGCTTTATTTTCACTTTGGGGACCTAAACACCTAGGGGACTGAACTGTCAACACAATTTCATTTAAAAATCTTGAGTTACGGCCCTTGACATTCCCAGGCTATTTATTCTGGGGCTATACGTATCTTCATTTCACTGGACTCTGTATTTGTGTGGCTTTGTTTGATTTATGTATGTGCTGACGAAGACTCTATAGCCGCAACATTCACGTTTCATTTGTGTTTGTTATATTGTGAAGCTCGCTGATCTATCTTTCTTTCGGGTTTATATCTTTCCATGATAAAAGTTCACAAGGTGGGAACATTACCAAAGGACCAAGTGGCTTTTTGGCATGCCATGATGAAAGCAACCTTGTGCAAAAGACCTCTAGCATGATGATAGTAAAGTAAAGGTCCCTTTTCCATGCCTTTGGGCATATAGGGCTAGACCTATTTTTTATAGACCAATCAGCCTATGGTAGATGATGTGGTCAGCACCACGACAACCGCCTTTACTTCCCAGGACTGCATCTGGTACCCACTCAAGGCTGGGTTGACCTGGGAGTCAAGGTCAGAACCTGAACCCACGACCTTCAGATTCGCAGACGAGCGTCT